TTTTTTGTTCGATGGAATTTCATTTGACTCTCGATCGATTCACGTGTTGTGCTCACGTCACAATACCTGACGTAAACAATCTGTTCCCAGATTTCCGCTCTATATATGCTGTGAGATTTGATTTTGACTTCACACACTATAAACAGTCTGCCTGTTTGCTGTTCAACAAATAAACTCCTAAAGACATGGCTAGGAAAAGCCAAGTATTTTTGCATACGTTATAACTCGAGAACGAAGCAAAAACCAGCGACAAAAATACAGGGCCGTGTTTTTCTATTACATTGAAGACCACATGCAAAAATTCAAGCCCTTTCGCGAAAATTTTTTTTTTCACCCAAATCGTCACTTAGCATGGTTTTGCACTCACCCCTTCATATAATTGAGCAATAATTCATCTTTTCAACTTGGCCATTATTTACTTACTTCATCTTGCGTGCTTTCATGTAAGTAAACCTGAACTCTTCTCTGCTCTTCCAACAGTCTGGCTTCAGCCTATAAAATAGACAATCAAGCAAGGAGTCAGTCTAAACTCAGTCTTATGAAGACTTGCAACTGCTACAAAACTCAAATACTCAATTATGTAGGAGGAGAAACAACCCACATGCTCAGGGCTCTCGTTAAGTTTTGATTCACCAGTAGTCTTGATCTTCACATCAGTAACAAACTTGTTACTTTGTGGGTGAATTGTATCAACAAAAGGCAATTTCAAACGTAACATCAAGAGCCAAACAAGCATACTCAGCCATAACAGGTGTTACAAGTTACAGCCCTTAATGACAGCCCTGCATGCTTGCATTCTATTAAGAAAATAACTAATCTATGTGTTGTACAGCAGTGTTTACTGAGTTTATCTCGCATCTTCAGAAACAACATGAGCCTCCACATCTCAAAACATTATGTCTTACAGGCCTCACCAAATTCAAAACTGGTAAAAACAAAGTTACCTGTAGTCTTTATATTCTTGTGTGAAGAAAAGATGGATATCAAACATTTTATATAAATTAAATATAAATTGTGTATTTTTCCATTGGAAATAAACTAGATTTTCTGTAGCTAAAGCTGGTGGAAACTAAACAGTATCCTTTTGGCAAATTGACTTTCCTTCCCCACGCTTGTTGGACATAAGCTAAAACCAAAATTTTTGGACTGTGATAATTTCAACCCCTTTTTCTTGAAGGACTGACACTACAGCCCTGTATTGGTATAAAATATGTTCATTTTTTTAATTACATATGTGGCATAGCAAAGCCCTTCAACTGATCATTGGTAATTAGAAGAGAACTGTGCATGAAGCTGACAAATGCTATACCCATGAAATATTAACAAGCATTTCAGTAGAATTATAGAGATCCATAACTCAAGTTATGTACCTTTTTCATATACTCAGTGACAGGGTTTTCTCTTAGAAATTCTGTACTCTCTGTTGTGTAAAATCTCTCTGTATCTTCTAAAAATACTGACTCAAAAGACGTTTTGTACACATTGAGGGTGGGTCCCTTGGCTGAAGGATCATCTTCATTCAGACCAAGTTCAACTGGGGGAAAAGAAAAGTGAGTCAGAGATAAGACATTTGTAGTGTGCAGTGAGAATATATTATGATACATATACAAGTAGATCTACAGTGTTCAGAGGTACCAATATGAACGACATAAAGATCAGCAATGTGCTGCACAGTGCAACACCAACTTTTAACTAATGAAGTGATTGTAAACAAAAACATTTACTTTTAATGGATTACAAAAACACATCTACATGTAAATTTAAGCATGCTTCATGAGGGTTCAATTTCATTGTCAATTAACCAAGACCACAATATGCCACTGAAACATCTTAACTTTTTGACATCTCATCATAAATGACTGCAGCAACCCCATTTTAAAAACATGCTTCAGTTAAAGAAGAAAACCAACTAGTTGTGCATAAAATAATTGACTCAATGTGGAGTCAACTTTCCTACTTTAGATTTTTACAGGACATAAAAAATACTACAGATTCCATTCAAGTGGCTTGGTGGATAATAAAATCATACCATAACACTGGATCACTCCACTGACAAGTCTTGTATTGATGGTTTCACCATTCCGTTCTCTTTCAATAAGCCTCAACACAGCATTTGTCACCTGATGAACACAAATATCAGTGATGAACTAACTGCAAGGAAAGGTAAAGCTTGGTTGCATAAAAAATGAGTAAGACAAACAGTGGCAGCTGTATAAATACACAGAATCGCAACTACAGTAAATGACAAATACAGTTCTAAGTACCCAGCACTATGGTTCACAAAATGCTTTCCAGTTTACAAAGCTTAAAGAGGGATAATTTACAGGAACTGGTTGTTCAAAAGCTGATTAATGCTAATCAAGGGTTACAAGTTAATCAAAGTTTTGATTTCTCTAGGGTTTTACTGTAAAGTTGACATTAGTGAGAAAAATATAAACGAAATCCTCAAAAAAATAACCAAAATATGAGATTAAAATTCAAGCTTATTAATATTGTAATCCTAGATAACTGCAGCTTAATCATCATTTGAAAAACTGAGCCCATAATTACGTGTATAGTAAATACCTGTCTGTTCAAAGGTCTAAACAAATTTTCTCTCCAGGTTACTAGGGCAAGCTAAAAAGAGGAAGAACACATTAAAAGAGTTAAACCCATTGAGTGTGTCTACTGTATTACTCTAGTTTTGTGAAAATGACAATCAGTCTTTTGTGCACATGTTGAGAGCAAAGCTATTCTACAAAGAAGCTATCAGGAGAGCACATTGACCAAATTGAATACTCTATACCAATGTGATATACATATACTGAAGTAACATTAACCACATTCGTCACAAGACATTTAGTGGAGGTTAGGCCCCTGTAATTATATTTGGTATATGCACCACATTGCATATAACTTCCCTTAACCAGCCCTCCGGGTAGGATCAAAATGTCCAAAAAATGTGTTTTTTCCAAAAATCTCTCGATGTCAATGGGTTAATAAATAAATTGACTGTTGGAGTTTATACCTTAGGAATTTAGTGGACAGCAGCCCCCTAAACCATCCCAATAATGCAATCTGCAGTAAAAATGTGACAGGAGCCTCTATCCAACAGAAGATAGATATTGTAACAATTGAGGGAATAACCTGCACCAAAATATGCTGGACAGAATACATGTATATTTCATGCATGTACACTGTACTGCAGGAAAAAGAACTTTATCCTGCAACAGAAGGTCTTTGGGAGTTGGAAAGAGGAATTACTTACCAGTGTAAGCTTGATGAAAATTTCCCGTATCAGAATACAAGAAATATGTTTACTCCACCTTAAACCATAAAAAAGATGCCATATACAGTTGGAACAGTCTACTCACAGAATAAATTTCATAGATGCCTTTTCTTCCTTCATCACACTCTCTTCGAACCCAGTGTCGGTTAAGATATGCACATACACCATTTAAAACTTTGCTTGAGAACCTATAATCCTCCCAGCGATGGGTGTAGAATTTAAGGACAGACTCATCCATAAGATCTGCACCATCCTGTAATGTACAAATGGTTTTAGAACCCACAGTCAAACATTTTATGGAACAATAACCTTCACTGATATGTTGCACATTACAGTGGTCCAAATGTATATAATAATAATTATTATATACAATCATGTATAATTATGATACATGTCATGAAGTGAGCTTTCAAACTTGATACGATTCATGGATATTGTAACTTTCATTCTAAGAATTTAAGTGTCAACTTCCAAATTTGCAAAATTTGTAGAACAAGACTGATTTGAAATTAATTTATGATTGGTTGAACCCTGAACAAAATATTCCAGTTTTAAACTTTCATTGTGCTCTGAGTACAAGTAATTAATTTATATTTTTTCAAACATGATTCCAGAGCAAGAAAACAATTTTTAAACCAGCAAAAACTGATCTACTGTGTAACAACCAGGCTGAGCATTAGTAAAGGAGATATAAAACTGGCAGTTTTCATACAGAAAGTTCAAAGAACAACAGGAGCAAAGACATAATAATATAACATTGTGTCAATCAGTTTACTCTGACCTTTTGCATGCCTGTGAGGTAATTCCTGAGGAAGTCCTTGAGTCTCTTATACAATTCAAGGCCAACAAACTGGGCTCCTGTGAAACAAAAATAATCATACAGGCTGAGCAATTTTCTGTGATGTGTAATTGACTGACAACATTGGTATTTCACTGTAACTGGTGGTACATACATTTCTAGTGATCTTACAGTTTAATTTCCAAAAACTTATGCAGTGGTGTGGTGCTGGGAAATAAAAAACTTAACCATTGTACCAGACAATGTGCTCATTATACGATATTGTACCGCCCTAAATATCCAAATGTACTGAATCATACATAAATGTATGCTGTACAATGTCCTTTTTACTTATCTGTACTAATTAAGAATTTGCTTATGTTTAGTATGCATCTTTTAAAAGAGAGAGAGACATTGGGCACAAGTTGTACATCGATTGTAGAGTTATGGATACCCCCCAGAGTTGGGAGAGAATGAGAGTGGCATAAGAGTTGCTTGAGCAGAAACCAGTGTTTCAGCCAGAAAATTTTACTTGAGGGCCAAAGTGGCCCCTGAAGACCTTTTTTAGGGGCCAATATTTTAGGAAAGGGGCCAAGAAATAATAATTGGTAAAAGGATAGTCGCCAAATGCAAATTTTTGGTTGCCAGATACTAGTATGAAGGATCCGTGCATTACAAGAGAACAATCCATAGGCATAGATGACGTAGTCGATGATCAAGGGTTTGCCATGCATCATAGGGCGATTTTGTACACGGTCAGCCATTCTGATGGATTGACTTCTTTTCTTATGTCGAATGTTTAAGAAGCAAAGATCTCTCAATATGGTTTTCTACAAGGACATAATGCATGAGGAAAGAACCGTTATTGATCGTCAACACAGAGAAATGTAGTTGCCATTATGGTGACTAAACCAGAATTTTTGGTCGCCAAGGATGAAATGTTAGTTGCATTGACAACCGAACCCTGGGATGGCTTTTAAATACTATGCCCATGTTAAGCCTGTGGCCTTGCAAAAGTAAAGGGCTAAATTGGCCCTTTCTTCGTTTTTCTGGGGACCATCTCTGATTGCAATGAGGGATTCCTGCAATGGCGTGGTCTGGCAGAAACACTGAGTAACCCACCGAAACTCTAGATTATTGAGCACTCTCCATACACACAAAGCCAATTCTTAAAAAAAACAACAGAGAATAGAAATAAGTAAGACACAATGTATGTTAAGGTGTTTACAAAGTAAAAAAAATAGTTGCCGCTTGTTTGAAAGAAGGCTTTTCAAAATAAAGAAGAATGGCGCTTTCCTTTGTGGAATATCCTCTTTCGTTTTAGAGACATATGCATTTTTGTATTATGTACATGAGAAAAGTGATGACGTCATAAATAGTTCCACCATTGCAACAGCTAAAATGTACAATGCATGCCAAGTAATAATCCAAGGTAAGCTCGAATTACCAAGGATGACTTATCCAAAGTTCAAGTTACGTATCAAACAAAATGCTTGTGACGACACATTTTTAGGATCCCAAAGTAACATAAAAGGGGCTCATGAAGGAAATGCTGTACTTATTGTGCAATTTTGCAAAAATCACGAGTCATGAATTTCCAAAATCACGAAATTAGGTTGTTATAAACATTTTGTGTCACAAGGTGATAATAAACAGTACTTTGCCTGTGTATTATTAGAAAGTTATGGCTACTAAAACAGTTTCCAGCACTTAAATTTTGATAGGTTGTTATAACCACTCTTTATTGCTTGATGCTACAATCATGGTATCAAAAAACTGCCCAATCATTAGTGAATATGTTATGATCATTTTCATGACATAATAAGTTACCATAGCAACAGTATGACCTGCTAAAAACACCCTTATATACAGCTTTAGGGGCTTATAATTCAAAAACGGCAAGGTGAAATTTTTTCATATTATCAAATTTTAAATAGCATCATAATACGCAACTTCTGGCAAAGTTTTAAAAAATTCTGTACATAGGGTTCAGAGCCACCTTAAAGTTTTGAAAATTCAAGGTGGCTCTGAACCCCATGTACAGAATTTTTTAAAAACTTTGCTTAAATTTGCGTCTTATTATGCTTATCAAAATTCAATGATATAAAGAAATTTCACCGTGCTGTTTTTGAATTATAAGCCCCTAAAGCTGTAATTAAGGGTGTTTTTAGCAGGCCACACTGTTGCTATGGTAACCTATCGACACACGAAAATGAACACAACATATTCACCATTGATTGGGCAGTTTTTTGCTACCATGACGGTAGCATCAAGTGATAAAGAGTGGTTATAACTCCCTATCAAAATCTAAGTGCTGGAAACTATTTTGAGCCACCTTAGTGAGATCCTATCGAAGAACATAATTAACAGACTGACTTACCGCCCTGGTTTGGCGCCTTTTTCTGTTTGGGAACTCTGGATTGGGACTGTTGATGGACACTAGTGCAATGATTGTAAACATGTCTACCCCCAATTAAGGAATAAAACGTCATTTTTAGAGAGATAAATTACTTCTATTGAGAAGAAATTGCCCACATTGTACAGCAAGACAATACGATTAATTACTCCTCAACCCAGCTTATGCTATTAACAATACAATAAAATAATTGATAAATAGATCTAATAAAAATAGGGAATAAAATGCAAGGAATGAACCCAACTGGTACAGTGCAACATACAAGGTAAGCTGCAATACGAGCAAGATGCAATGCAAGCCTGAGTGGCAGAGAAGACTGCTGCAGGGCTCGAAATTAACTTTTTCGTTCGGGAGCCAGCTGGCTACTAACGGAAAAATTTTGGTTGCCAGATCGTAAATTTTGGTCGCCAATTTATTTTATATATAACTTACACACACAAAACAATGATTTTATACGTTACTTCGCAAGCAACAAAAGTCACAATTGAAGAGCGAAAACAATTAAAAACAACACAAGTAACACTTAGTTATAAAGCTACTGTTGTTCTCAGGTGATATGTCTCCGGTCCAAAGGTGATAGTTGACTCCATAGTCATTTTAAATGAAGCGAAGCATAAAACGTTTAAGTCCGTGGTTTTCATTGTGAGACAAACACGGGTCCTTGCGTATTTTCCCTTTGCTACTTCTTCGAAATGCTGTTCTTTATTTTCAACTTGCTTTCCTTGATACCTTTCGCTGCCGACAAACAACGCCATGCTTGAATCTTCATTTCCCGCACGCAGTCAAGATTGGTATCTGCCGCCATTTTCGTGGCAAATGAAAAGCACATGGTGTCGAAGTGTGTCTGTGATCCCAGTTTCGGAAGAAGCCGCTGAAACAATATGGTGCGCCGTGAACGCAGTATCAATGTGTCGAAATACATTCAATTTTTTCGACTATCTTGTAATATTCAGACATTATTTTACTGGGGACGGAAAGGTGAGTTCTACACTAGTTACAGTATCTGATTGATTTCCTAATATAAAGATTTAAAAACAAAAGTTGTGTCGTGGTTTTGTTTAGTTATCGGACAAAACGCGAGTCGCCAGCTGGCGATCAGTTCTGAAAATTTAGTCGCCAGTGCTCAATTTTTGGTCGCATTGGCGACCAGTGAGTCGCAATTTCGAGCCCTGCGCTGATTGCAGCTGATAAGATTGGGAACAGTGCAACCAAAACCTCTGACCACCTCAAGTGGTGAAGTGGACCCTGAAGGGCCACTAACCGCAATAATACATACAGAGAAATTCCTGGATAACCCAACTACCAAAAGATGCTTGAAATACTAACCACTCCAAAAACGCTTAAAAAGGCCAGCAAACGCTTCTTGCATGGTTAACTATGTTAAATTACATTTTTCTAGGTTCTTGGGGTAAAGTGGTCTACATTGTCCAAACTACTAACAATGAGTAAGCCTTGGGAAGTGACTTTCTCTTTCTTTCTGAATTTCATTTGAATATACCAGCAACGTAACTGGCAAATGAAAAAAAGTCCATCAAATCTTCAAGCATGTGTCACAGTTGTGGTGGCACAACTGAAGTGAAGTGTTTATCATAATTACGAATATCATAGTTTCTCATCTGTCTTCAGCACCAATATCCTCTTTTCAGGAAGGCATAACTTGGGTGAGAAGGAAATAATACAACAAAAGTACCATAAAACACAAACATTCTGCTTTTTACTTGTAATGTTACCTTACTCTGGTATAAATTCACAAATCATGTTTGAAAGGCATAGAAAAACATGTCCAGCACAAGCACGCTTTACGACATAATTTGTTAGTGGACTGTGTAGAGAAGACAGTTACTGAAGTTGAATGACCAACAAATAGTATGCACAAACTCAGAGACATTTTGAATTTGTAAGTTACAGTGGTTTGGTCGATTAAATATAATTGTTTTGAGAAAGGATTCTCCTTAACCCCCTACAAACAGACTGGTTTGAAAAAAAACCAACTAAAATCAGTCAAGTGCACTTGATGCCAGCACTCATTTTTTATGGTCAAAATTTGGGTCAGTTAAACAAAAGCAAATAGAGTGGAAAAGGGTGGCTGTTTAGTATGGATTAATCATCTATGAACTGGCTGCCTAGCTCCTCTTGCTCCTGCAGCTATTCCAGATCGCCACAGAAGTACACATACATGTATAGCTATTCTTTAACTCTGCTCATGTGTATTGAACCCAGTGAGTTGAGGGTGCTAATAGTATAAGCGATTATTCCTAAAATATCATGAATTCAACAAATTGCCAAGCTACAGATTGATCTTGAGTCTGAATTCTATGTTGTCAAGGCCTTTCTTGCATTATCTGTTGGTCTGGAAGAGACTGTATTAGGCTATTGAAATCTACAAGACACATATTATTTTATCAACTACTTAATTTTTAGCTTGGATTACTGCTATCTACCCAGCAGAATTTCTGCTCTCTTTTTCAGAAAAAAAATTCAAAATTCAAGCAAGGCCAATTACTGCAATTATGAAAATAAAATATGTAATTCAAGCCCTAGGATTTCATGGTAATGATAATTTCTGGTACTGTGCAGTCACCATGATTCAGAAATATCAGAACCGAAAAGCCATTTGCCATGGACATCTTCAGCTTTGCCAATTAAAATCAATTTGATAAAGGTTTTCTTCTGTTGTAATTCTCATGAAGTAGAGTAATTCTTTTGATTAGCACTCTGATTAAACCCGAAACTAAAATGTTGTTTGGAATCACCCATCCGACATGTTGTGTCCATCCTGAAGTGCATTGCATGGTATCTGCAATGCAGTCTGGGAGAGATTTAAGATGGTGGATGAATGGCTGATAAAGGGTGAATTAGCTAAAATATTATGGTTTTCATCCCAGCAATCATTTTATATGGTATCCACTGTGAAGAAGAAGAAGAAGTACAAAAGTTGACTCTGTATCATTAAAAAACAACTAGGAAGAGGTATTTTTGAACTGATTTTGAAACTGTTTCCCATTTTGGAGAAGATCAACTCGCTTATAAACTTAAACTAGCCAAGATTCATGCCACTGAGTACATGTAAGCTTATAAATATAGGGTTTATTTCATATTTCAGACTACTTTCGTTTTCTTTTATTTGTGTCCAAATCAAAAATTATCTGTTACTGATCGTTTCTCATAATCACTGGACACGGAACCGAAAAAGTGTTACCGATGAAAATAATTTGAAATACTAGGGCTTGTAATTTGTGAAATGGTCTAAATCCCACTTGTGATTTGTGATTTGAATCACAGGGAGTGATTTGACCTATTTCATTTATCACCCTGTACACAAGCAGACAGGATGACTCCTTAGGGTCCCTGATCACTTGTGCTTCAATTTGTATCATCAAGTTGTTCCATTCCTGGGGAACAGTCTTTAACCAACCAAAAAAACTTCCTTATAAACACACAGAGTTCAATTGAATGTGTGAAAAGCATGCAATTTTTTAAAGCAAACCTGAATGACTCAGCTGTTTTGTTTGCCAGTTACAATTTCCCAGAGTCCTGGGACCAAAAATGAAAGTTCTCGTCATAGCTGGAAACGGAAGAAGTTCAACCCACTACCTAAGCACCTGACTTCAAGTACCCCACTAAACTTTATCAAGTCTGGGGAATATGGGCATACTTTAAAACTAAGCAACCGTCTTTATAAATCACTTTAGTAATTGTCTACATTGTAATATTAAACACCTTTAAATGTATAATGCAATTTCTCACGGAAAGGATACGTGTAAAGTTCCATATATCTCGGTTTGGACATACTCTGTTGCTTATAAACGTGTTGTATTCCTTCTTTAAGGTCATCCCAGATTTCATCTAGGGTAATTTGACGTAATCCATGAGGATTTTGTGTCCTAGAAGCCATCGTGTTCATAATTATAGCGTCCACAAAATCAAGCTATCCTCGGACGGGCTTCTTGGATGAAAATTTTGCTTTCCTGTGACTCAAAGGAAAGCGTAACAGTTCGTCTAATCAATAAACCTTTCCTCCAAGAGACGATAGTACTAGTTAGTACCTTACCACCTTCATCCTAAACGTCAAGAATTTGTAGTTTGACAACTTAGACGGATACATGCAGCCACCAACACAAAATGAATCGTTGAAACAAACACTTCTCTCTCGGCTTCAACGAAGTAAATTACGACAAAATCTTCTCCAGAAGAGATTCCATTTCCTTAGTTAAAGTTTTCTCTTAAAAACGAGTCCTTTGGTCGAAGAAACTGTCATCTTTTGAGCACTTTTCTTTTTGATACACAAAATTCAGGCACGTAAAGTAAGATGGCTGCGAGTCTGTGACGTCACAAATGCGAAGCCTGCATTGCATGCTCCCCCGCGCCTTTCAAAAACTCGACTATCATAATATATAGATTTAGGCTAGCCTAAAAGCGTAGCTCCTGGGCCGGG